CTCATTGCACAAGGGGTGTTGGAGCCCGTTTCACACGCCAGGTGGGAGACATCAGTCGTGACCCCTATCAAGCCCAACGGATTGGTGCACATTTGTGCAGACTATAAATGCACGATCAACCAGGCATTGCAGCAACACTCCTATCCTGTACTGGTCGTCAGCCACATCCTGGCATCATTGGCGGGAGGCAAGATCTTCGCCAAACTAGATCTTGCACAGGCCTACCAGCAGCTGCCAGTCACTCCCAAGACGGCGGAAGCCCAAACCATCGTAACGCATTGTGGGGCTTTCAAAGTCAACCGTCTCCACTTTGGGGTCAGTGTGGCACCGGGACTCTTCCAAGGCCTTATGGAAGGTCTACTAAGGAACATTCCAGGTGAAGTGCCTTACTTCGATGACGTGCTGATTGCCAGAGATTCCAGCAAACAACTGGGTGCCTGCCTTCAACAGGTCCTGCAGCAGTTGCAAGAGGCAGGGCTGAAGGTTAAGCATGGCAAATGCCAGATCGGGGTGCAGCAGGTCAAGTTCCTTGGGTTCCTGATAGATGTTGACAGTGTCCATCCGACGGCCAGCAAAGTCCAGGCAATCCACAACGCGCCCACGCCTATGTCCAAAAAGGAGCTCCAATTGTTCTTGGGCCTCCTTAATTTTTACCATGCCTTCTTGCTGCACAAAGCCTCGGTTGCGGAGCCTCTACATCGACTCCTTGAGAAGAAGGCATGGTGGATGTGGGGCCCGAGTCACGCCTGTGTGTTCGCCACTGTAAAAGACCTGCTCTCATCTAGGTCCATGCTCACCCATTTTGACAAGAGACTGCCGCTCATCCTCGCTGCCGATGCTTCGCCCTACGGCATTGGAGTGGTTCTCAGCCATCATTTACTGGATGGGAAAGAGGCTCCAGTCATGTATTTCTCCTGAACTCTGGCTCCAACTGAGATAAACTATGCGCAGATCGATAAAGAGGCACTCGCCCTGGTCGCTGGAGTTTAAAAAATCCACAATTTCATGTATGGTCAGCCATTCGAGAACGTGACGGACCACAAGCCATTATTGGGACTTTTTGTGCCAGACCAGCAAACCCCGCAAGTGATGTCACCTCGCATGCTCTGTTGTTTGGTGTTCCTTTCAGTGTACACCTACAAGCTGTCGCGCAGACCCGGAAAGGCCATCGGGCATGCTGATGCCCTCAGCCATTTGCCACTACAAGCCAAAGCCAAGGATCCTGCTCTGGCCTACAAGGTAATGGTCCTAGATGAGGTGCCTCAAACCCTGCTCCATGGTTCTGAAGTGGCGGCTCAGTCTGCAAAGGACCCCACCCTCGCCCGGGTCCTGAACTGGTTGTGGAGGGGATGGCCATCAGGAAGGCAAGCTCCAGAGTTTGCCACTTACAAAGCACGGCAATATGAACTGTCAGTGCATAAAGGTTGCCTGCTATTGGAAAATCAAGTGGTTATTCCCCTCAAACTCTGCCAGTGTGTGTTAGAGGCACTACATGCGGGTCACCCTGGTGTGGTGCGAATGAAGGTATTGGGACGCAGTTATGTGTGGTTGCCACATTTTGATCAGGATGCTGAATAGTGGGTCCGCACATGCAGAGCCTGTCAGGAGACCTGGCCAGAGCCACCTCAAGCTCCAATGCAAAGGTGGGAAACTACCAGAGCGCCCTGGTCCCACCTGCATATTGATTTTGCAGGACCATTTCAGGGGAAGACGTTCCTGATTGTCATGGACTCTTTCTCCAAATGTCTGGAGGTAGTCACAATGTCTGTCATGACATCAGCCTCAGTCATTCGAGTGCTACGACGTATTTTTAGCATGCATGGACTACCAGAGACCATAGTCTCAGATAACAAGACTCAGTTTACCTCGACTGAGTTCCAACAGTTTACGGAGGCCAACTCCATTCGGCACATCACAGCTGCCCCATCCATCCAAAAACAGACAAGCAGAACGTATGGTCCGTACGACCAAGGACACTCTAAAGAAGATAGTCCATGGCAACTGGGAGTACAGAATGGCGGATTTCTTGCTCCAGCAGCACATCACGCCGCATTCTATAACCGGTCGCAGCCCAGCAGAGCTCTTGATGCACCACCACCTGACAACTGTCTTGGATCGCCTGCATCCTGATCTCACAGCAGACAGGCCGCCGCAATGAGATACTCCTGACCCCATCCGATCGTTCCATCTGGGTGACCTTGTTTATGTCAGGAACTACAATGGGGGTCCACTGTGGGTGGAAGCAACCGTGACAGCCAGCACCAGACTGGTGTTGTATTTGGTCTGCACTGCCGAGGGGAGAAGTCTCCGTCGGCACCTTGACCAGCTACGGAGGCATTGGGCTCAAGAGCTGCAGACAGCGGACGCAGATGACCAGATGGAGAACTCCCGTTATTGCAACATACCACAGTCACCAACAGAGGCACAGCCGGTGATCGCAGCGCCATCTTGCATTGCGAGACTTTAGCCAATACCGAGGACGAGAACTCCTCCAACTCCGGGCTTGAGTCATGCCAGACACCGGCACTGTCCGGAGAGCCGGAGGCCTGCAGCACACCCCGGCCGAGTGAACCCAGGGACATTGGTCCACGCATTACCAGAGGCGGGGCCGAATCGCCTATGGCTGAACTCAGACGTTCTCAACGTGTAAGAACGCGGCCCGTGAAATTCCAGGACTATGTGTGCTGACTTAGGGGAGGGGTGTTATGTCTTAAGTTAATAAAGCAATGTTTACCTTAAGCATAAGTTCTATTAAAAGAAAGCAGTGTCTGGATTGAAGAACTAACCAATCAGAGAAACCTATGTTTTTGGCGGGAACCACGCAAAAATTCTACTTTGTGAGCAACTGGCATTAAAGTTGTGAGCGAGCAATTTGCCTACTGCATAAATTGGTTCGCTCTGGAGCCATCCTTCCTGAGCTAAGACAAAAATGTGTGAGCTGGACTCTAAAAAACTGTGAGCTAGCTCACATTAACTCAGCTTAGAGGGAACACTGGTTCCAAGCCCTGTATTTCCATTGGGTGTTATCTGTTTGTTGGGTGTGGGTACCCCTGTTCAAATTGTATATAAGTCAGCCTGGTTCTATGCATTTTGTCTTGTGTTGTTATGAGCTGAATAAACATGAATCACTTGTTTAAGAGCTGCCTCGATCTCAGTTCATAATACTTATGTAAAACAAAAGGGGACAGAACTTCTTCTCCACTTTAGGTGAGCTCTTGTCATGAGCTCAGACATGTTGAGCCTGCATTGTTTCTTGAAACAATGACCATTAGTGCTGATGGTCCTGTAAGAGCTCATGGCCCATGCGGTGTGTACTCAGCCAGATTTTCATAAGTACATAAATGATCTTTGAAAAGTTACAAAAAAATGATGTAGTGATGTTATTATCAACTTCTAGTTAGGTGCACTGAGCATTTTAGCTATGCTGACATGCAATGTTTAGCCAGAAGAAAGTCCCACTGTGTTTTTAGAATATCACTTGCCTATTCACACAGGTAAAGGACTTTATATACACCCACTGTCATCATTATCCCATAAATATGAGAAATTTTTAAAAAGGTCCACTTGGCCCTGCTCACTTTCTAAAAACACTTGATGGATACCAAGAAAGGTGTTGGCAGGTGCCATGGTTCCCACAGGTACCATGTTGAGAACTGCATTAGAAACCAAATTCTCTGATTCCTGATCTTGATATCTCTTCCAGTTGCCTAATGTCACACCTGAATGGTTCCCTTCCTCCCATTAAGCTTTCACAATCTATTTTGAAAGGCCAGGCACTGCTATATAAATAAATGCAATCTTTTCCCCAGATAAATCCCTGAGCTTCACTTGCACCTAATTCAAGGAACGTGCTCTTAGGGGGTATCAAATTCATGCTCATATCAGTTGCTTTGCATGAATAGGCCCAGCATAATTTGTTTCTCCATGTCCCCAGTCACAAAGAATAGCATTCAAAAGTCCTGAAACTGCAGCAATGCTAAGGTTGCCAACTTCCAAGTGGGACCTGGATATCTCCCAGAATGTCAACTGATACTGGACTACAGTTTTCCTGAAAAGAATGGCTGCTTTAGAGGATACACTGATGTCCCTCACCTCCCTCAAGCCCACCACTGCCAGGCTCCACCCCTAAAATCTCCAGGAACTGGGAGTCATCAATGCTAACTGAAGCTGCATTTCCCTTCAGTACAACTGAAATGGAACTGATTCTGAGCTTCTGCAAGCTGTATGTATTACTAAATCTGGAGTCTATAGATCTGTTTTCTGGTTTTTAGACTTGTTTAAGAATTGCTTAATAACCTGTTTGTATTTCATTATAAGAATACATGCATGGTCAATTAATGACCAAGATATTTAACACAGAAGGAGGAGGAGGAGGAGGAGGAGGAGGTTGGATTTAGAGGAGGAGGAGGAGGAGATTGGATTTATACCCTGCTCTTCACTCAAAGTCTCAGAGCGGCTTACAATTTCCTTTCCCTTCCCCTCCCCACGACAGACACCCTATGAGGTAGATGGGGCTGAGAGCTTTTTAGAGGATTGCTCTTGAGAGAACAGCTCTGAAAGAACTTGTGACTGACCCAAGGTCACACCAGCAGCTGCATGGGGTGGAGTGGGGAATCAAACCCAGTTCTCCCAGATTAGAGTTTGCGCTCTTGACCACTGCAACGACCGCTACACCAAATTAAATAAGAATACATATATGGTCAATTAATGGCTGTGAGATTTAACACACATTTAGATTTTAAGCACTTTGCTAGTGTCTTTGAAATCTTAAGCGCAGCTAGTGTCTTTGAAATCATCTGGAACTGGGTCTTCCTGTAGTCATGGCCAAAACTGACAAACTGTTGCTTATATAATTGGATGGATAGTTCTGTTTTAAAGTTATATTTTACAGAACAACCACTAGAATTCTGGGTAGCCAGTCTCTAGGGGGAGGGTCTTTTCTTTGGAAAAAAATATAAATTGCAGAATACAGAGAGTCAAATACACCACTTGTGAACTACCTGTGCCTGATCAACTGAAAGATTTTCATCATAGTCATATAGGTTATCCAGGTCTTCTAGAGCAATGTCATATGTTTCAGAGTCATAAGTTATGGAACTCATTGTAGGAGCAGCTGCAATGATGTTGAAGCTTATAAATCCCACGACAATGCTTGCCAAGTTCTTCATTCTTCAACCTTGTTCTAGTAAAAGAAAGCAGAAAAATGTGATTACAATCTAGTGGGAAAATATGTAATTTTAGATATTCAACATTTAACAAAGTTAACCAGAAGTTTGATTAGAGGGTTTTTAAAAAGTAATACTATGTTCATGTACAGCACAACCAGGCATTTAAAATGACAGATGAAAAGCGGGAGAAGGACAAAATTTCAGAAGTACAAGCATTTCTAAATGACAGACAACCACCATTCTTGAAGCTTTCTAATGAATTTTTACCTGCTGTGAAATAAAGCAACATAAGCAACAGACACAAGCAGTAGACCTTATGTATCCAAGTGCAGTAATTTCTGTTAGAGTTGCCAACTGGCCCTGTTTCCCACCAGCAGAGATGGATATTATTCCTTCTGGTAAGGAGTCAGATGAATCCCCTCCGCCCCCCAATTGTGGAACTAAAAGAGAGAATGGTTCTTAACTGTTCACTGCCTTTTTTTACACTTTGGCTTTAAAAGTATAGCAGGCTACATTTGCCTGCAGTTTTTGTTTTTAACTTCCATAAAGGTTTTCCTGTGTTTCAGAAGTAAGCTGCTGCTTCTCTCCTGATATTTCCTCAGCCAGAAAGAAGGAAAGAGATGGGAGAGAAAGAAAGATAAAGCAGAACACCCTAGGGTTGCCAAGTCAAAAATTCGCCGGAGCGGGGAACTCCCCGCTGGCGGCTGGAGGGCTATGGAAAACCATAGAGGGCTATGGAAAACCATAGAGTTTTCCCTCGGATGACCGTGGCCCTGCCCTCAGCGTGCCTGGCATCATCACGTCACTTCCGGGTGACGCCCACGTCGGGGTGGTGTTCCCCCGGGGCCCAATCCGCCGACAGTGGAGAGCGGGCCTCTGGGGCGGGGTTTTCCCCGCCCCCGGGGGGACTTGGCAAGCCTAGAGCACCCCCATAGGGTTGCTAATTCTGGGTTGGGAAATTCCTGGAGATTTGGGGGTGAGGCCAGGGGTGGGCTGGGTTTCAGGAAGGGAGGGACCTTAGTGGGGTATAATGCCATAGAATCCACCCTCCAAAGCACCCATTTTCTCCAGGGGAACTGGAGATCAGTTCTAATTCCAGAAGCTCTTTGGGCTTCACCTAGATACTAGCAACCCTATGTTGTTTGGCAGGTAAGTACACGGAGTTGTTTGTTTTTCACACGGTGATTTGCTATTTTTCTTAAAAAGCTTTCTAAACCCAATAACCCCCTGCATATTTAGTGATGTTCTGTTTGATCATATGCATATTTACTTGGAAATAAGTCCTTACTAGGTATAATGAGGCTTATTCCCATGTAATTGTGCATTGAACTGAAGCCAGGAGGAGGAGGAGGAGGAGGAGGAGGAGGATTTATACCCTGCCCTTCACTCATGTAAATAATAAAACAATTGGGATGATGGCTTAACTTAGGGGGGAGGAATTGTAATGTATTGAAACGATTACATGAATCACCTCATAGGACTCCTATGTTAAGCTTCGAGCCAGACCAGGGCTCCTTTGAGCGAACTTCCTATTGGTCGCTTCGTAACAGCGACCAATCAGAACGATACCATTCCCTAGGAGGGAAAGACTCCCATTGGTCCTTAACTAAGCAATCTCATTGGTTGTTAATTGTAAATAGGCGTGGCTACATTAGCCCGGTTATGTTTAAAAGGTGGACTGGCCCAAATAGATCACGGAAGGCAAAGCCTTCTCTGGATCTCTGAGAGTCAGTGCTCAACTGAAGCTTCTGGCCTATTTTTATACCATTTTGGTCCTATACATTTTGATAGAGCCATAGAAATCATAAACTGCATCAATTAATTTTAACTGCCCTGTAGAGTATGGGCCATCAGGAATCAGGAGATGTTTACGTATTCCATGGGCAATGGGGCATCTTGATGCTCCTTTGCAAAACAATGCAAGGTAGCACCTGCATTTCTAAATAACAAACACAAGAATGTTACAGTTCCAGGGTGTTCTTTTGTTTCCTTGACCCCGAGTAGACATTTGGGCACCTGTCTGGTGGCTGGAGATGTGATGTGGATTTCTGCATGAAGACAGAGCTTAGTATTGCAAATATTCTGGCTTCCTTGACTTAATGGCAGGTGAAAAAATTCTTTTATTCTTAAATATTTCCAAATTCTTTAGGTCTAAAATGTTTCCAAATTCTTTAGGTTCATGAACAATGAAAATGCAGATGTTAATTCCTGTGTAAGAAGAGACAAAGGCCTAGCAAAATTCTTTTTGGGAGTCATGTACTGCTAGCTGTTTGGAAAGTTACAGGAATAGAGGGGAGAAAAAGACTATGATTTATTTATGAAATTAATTGTATAAATGGGTTAAAATTTTCTGAACCATTTATTTTTTTTCTCACAACAGACTGCAGAGCCTGTGGACGGCGTGGTCATCTGGCCAGAGTCTGCAGATCGGCACGGAAGGATCCCTCACCTACCAGCAGGTCGGCACAAAGGAATACCCCCGCAAATTCCCGAAGCAGCAAGCAGCGTTTCCCGGCATCGGAAGCAAGCTGCCAGACTACAACGACCCGGACAAGCGCATCGGCTGTAAACCGCACCAGTTGCCAAGGGAAGATCACCGTGACCCCACTCCTCGACGGCAGACCATGCACTATGGAGGTGGACTCCGGCTCTTCTGTAACGGTGATTTCTGCAGCATCCTGGCAACAGCTGTTTCCGACCAGAAGCAGACGGCGGCTCCAGCCTGCGGAGACCAGAGTGTCCGACTTCCAGGGCAACCGGATTCCCCTGGCCGGAAGAGACACTGTACATGTTGAGTATAAGGGGAAATGTGTTAAACTGTCATGTCTTATTGCTGAGGGAGACCGGGTCAACCTGCTGGGGTTGGACTGGTTTGAGCCATTGGGCATTGGTATTTCAGGGATTAACAAATTGCTTGAGAATAAATGGGATATGATGTATGACCTGTTCCCTGATGTGTTTGCAGAGGGTCTGGGGCGGTACAAAGGGCCCCCGGTTGCTTTTGAACTTGACCCATCTGTAAAGCCGATCAGACTGAAATATCGGAAGGTTCCAATTCCCCTCAGGCCTAAAGTAGAGAGGGAAATTGATAAACTCGTGGAACAAGGAATTTTGGAACCTGTTCCTCACAGCAAGTGGGAGACGCCTATAGTAACACCAGTTAAGCCTGATGGGTCCATACGCTTATGCGCAGACTATAAATGCACCCTTAACAAGGCGTTACAACAACACTCCTATCCCGTCCCGGTTATTAGCCACATCCTGGCTTCATTGGGGGGCGGAAAGATCTTTGCCAAATTAGACTTGGCACAGGCATACCAGCAGTTGCCTGTCACTCCTGAGGCTGCAGAGGCTCAGACTATTGTTACCCATAGGGGGGCTTTTAAGGTGAATCGCCTACAGTTCGGGGTAAATGTGGCGCCCGGCATCTTTCAGGGCCTGATGGAGCAACTCTTGAGGGGGGTACCAGGAACGGTGCCCTACTTCGACGACGTGTTAATTGCGGGGAGGTCTGAAAATGAGTTGATGGACCGGGTGAAGGAGGTCTTGAAGCGTTTCCAAAACGCTGGGCTCAGAGTAAAACGTTCAAAATGTACACTGGGAGTTAGCAGTGTAGAGTTCTTGGGGTTCAGGATTGATGCAGACGGGGTGCACCCCACTACTGACAAGGTGACTGCAATCCGAGACGCCCCCAGGCCGGTGAGTAAGAAGGAGCTCCAATCATTTTTAGGACTCCTCAATTTTTATCATGCGTTTTTACCGCATAAGGCATCAGTGGCGGCCCCTTTGCACGCACTTTTGCATAAGGAGGCGAAATGGAAGTGGGGACAGGCCGAAGAAAGGGCTTTCGTGGGGGTTAAGGAGCTGTTGGTGTCTAATGACGTGCTGACGCATTATGATGACCAGAAGCTCCTGGTGTTAGCTGCGGACGCTTCACCGTTTGGAATTGGCGCGGTTTTGAGCCACCTGATGCCTGATGGGAGCGAGGCGCCAATCGCTTTTTACTCAAGATCTCTTTCTGAGGCAGAAAGGAACTATGCCCAGATTGACAAGGAGGGTCTGGCTTTAGTAGCGGCTGTCAAAAAGTTCCATGACTTTATTTTTGGCAGGCGATTTTTGCTGGTCACTGACCACAAGCCGCTACTGGGGATTTTTGCACCCGATAAGCAACTGCCGAATATCATGTCCCCGCGCATGCTTAGATGGGCGCTCTTTTTGCAGGCGTACGATTATGACCTTGAACACCGGCCTGGGAAGGCAATCGGACATGCGGACGCCCTCAGCCGCTGCCCATTGCCCTGTGCGGGACCCGACCCTGCTCCTGCTTGTGAGGTCTTGGCACTGGACGAACTCCCTCAGGCTCCTGTATCGTCCAGGGACATTGCTGCACACACGGCTAAAGATAGCGTGCTGTCCCGTGTTTTAAACTGGGTTTGGAGGGGGTGGCCAGTTGGGAGTGTTGAACCTGAATTTGGACCCTACAAATGCCGCCAAAGTGAACTGTCCATTTCTAAGGGCTGTGTTTTATGGGGCAACAGGGTGGTGGTCCCTGACAAGCTCAGGAACAGAGTTCTAGAATCTCTGCACGAGGGGCACCCTGGAATGGTGCACACCAAAGCGTTGGCCAGGGGGTATGTCTGGTGGCCTGGGCTGGATAAAGAGATTGAGGATTGGGTTCGCGTGTGTTCCCAGTGTCAGCAAGTCAGGCCGGAACCCCCACAAGCTCCGCCTCAGAGGTGGGAGTCTTCAGGGAAACCCTGGGCCAGATTGCATCTGGATTTCGCTGGCCCGTTCCAGGGGAACATGTTTCTCATAGTAGTGGATGCAATGTCTAAATGGTTAGAGGTTGTGCGCATGAAAACAACCACTTCACTAGCCGTGATCCATGCGCTCCGCCATCTTTTCGCCACGCACGGGTTGCCTGACGTCCTCGTCAGTGACAACGGGCCTCAATTTGTCTCTGAGGAGTTTAAGCAGTTCCTCACGAGTAATGGCATCCG